AAGAAATGACGAAAACATTGCCAAAATCAAACGTGCAATTGATGAAGATCGTCGAAAGACCATTGACCAACTTTCTGAGGAAACGAACATCTCATGGAGCACGGTCCAGCGAATTTTAACCGAAGGTTTGCACATGAGACGGGTGTCTGCAAAATTTGTTCCTCGCTTGCTCGGAGATGACCAAAGAGAAAACCGCGTGAATGTTGATTTGTTTTTTTGATGTGAATGGCATTGTCCACAAAGAGTTCGTTCCGCCAGGACAAACAGTGAACCAACATTTTTACCTGGATGTTTTACGAAGATTACGAGAGAGTGTGCAACGACAACGGTGCGAAATGCGGAGAAATGGGAACTGGTTGCTTCACCACGACAATGCTCCAGCCCACACAGCTTTGATGGTCCGACAGTTTTTGACAAGCAACAACATGGTGATTGTGCCTCATCCACCTTACTCACCCGACCTGGCTCCGTCGGACTTTTTTTTTTTTCCACGGATGAAGAGAAGTCTGAAAGGAAAGCGATTCCGTGATGTGGATGAAGTCAAAGAAAACACGCTAAAGGCTTTGAACAGTATCCAGCCTCAAGAATTCCAGCACTGTTTTGAGCAGTGGCAAAAGCGTTGGGACAAGTGCATTAATGCACATGGACAATACTTTGAAGGGGACTAATATACAGTTCAATAAAAATGCAAAAATAAAAAATAACAAAAATAAATTCCGGTTATTTTTGGGTCCCCCCTCGTATTAAAATGGTCTTAGAGTCTTAGGTTTTATAAAATGCTGGGAATCTCTGAGCCAGATGAGTGATTCTCAGTATAGGATGAAGAAGGTTTCTGCTCCATTGAGGTAATTTAAAAAATCTGTTGACTGCAGCACAGTGGACCTCACTGTAATGTGTTCACATAATTTTTAATTTTTTCTTTTCATGTTCTCCAAAATACAGTACTTAACAGTGTGCTTAATTGGATGAGATCAGCAATGGGACAGTTCATATACAGCTTTTCAAGATTGTAATCTTATTAGAGGCTCTCCAGGGCCTCTGTAAGCAAATTCTGGAGTAACATCTGAACAGCTTTCATGCTGCAAATGAGATACATCACATACATCATAAATGCACTCAACAAAAACTTTTATTCAGTAAATAATACTGTTGTTAGTAGTTACTATAGGATTCTGACGATGGTGTATAACACACTGATATATTGGGTTTTTGGACTTTATCCATCTCATGGACTTAGCCTGGTCTCAGGTGTTTATAATCTTCATGTTTTGTGACATCGGTTTGTCCAGTGATTGAGGCTAGCTCTTTCTAACGGACCCAACAGAATAGGTTTTTCCTTCACCTGAGGACGGAAACAGATCCAGTTTCCGAAACGTCGTGTTTTTATTAGTTGTCTTAAAAACCAGGACGATGGATAAAGTCCAAAAACCCAATATATCAATACTGTTGTTATTTGTTTGTGTGCTACATTTCATCATTATTAGGGCGAATATCAAATGTATAAGTGTAATCAGTAAGATCCATCATTTATTCTACACAGTTTTACCTAGCTGTTGTAATTTTAATATTATTCAGATTATTCGTATATAAATTTACATGATGCATGTGTAAGTTTTGATTATGTGTCTGCATCCACATAGCTAGAATATTCAGGCATTATATTATATTTAAACATCCTGTTACATTCCACACTTCTATATGCATAATATAAAATGCAACACTTTATTGTAGTTCGTGTCCCGTTTCTTTCACACTACGTGTTTCGACCATAATCGGCCATCATCAGGTGTATTTCACTTCACGTAGCTGTCACAGTGCACTCAATATTAACATTTAAATTCCAGATTTCCAATTGTTCATTTTCTGTCATCAATCGGCACCTGATATTCCAAACCTTTCCTTGTCGATTTTGTCAATTGTGTTTTATGAATATTCACACGTCGGTTGGTTTAAAATTTTAAAATTTTAAATTCTCATTTAGCTTTAATATTTAAAATTTAAATTTAGATTTAAAGACCAAAATCACAGAAATACCTGCTCTATGCTTATGTGTGCTGCAGCGGCTACCTCTTGCTTTCAGCACAACTCACGTGTTATTTTGTGCAGGCTCTCTGTGTGCGTGCCATTGCTTTTCTTTAATACATTTGCAATAAAGTGTTACATTTACAACAGAGTTTATATTATACATATATTCGGTCATATTTATTATTATGTAGTTATGATTAACTGGATGCATTAGTTCTGTAAAACTAGATAATTACAGTTGCTCATTTTATCAGTCTTGTCTGCATATTCAGAGATGCGGCATAAATAGAATTTGTTTTTATACCACAATTTTTCTATAACATGAGTTTCTTTAAGAATGCAGCTGTTATATTATAGTAGAACTGAAAGGTTACTGTCTTCAGGGATGTAATGCTCCATAATCTGGAAGTTCATCAACATTTTGAAAGAACATAAGCCTCCATATTCAGGGTTGAAGAGGGATCCAAACAAGTACCCAGCAGGAATCAGGCTGCAGGCTGAGTGGTTTGCTTGTCAACTGCTCTATGTTGACTACATGCTTGGCTCATTCTTTGATCCTGAAGATGGAGGCAGTGTGTTCTTCCTCAACGTTGATGGACTTACACTGCAGTACATGGTGTTGCATAGTCACCATTGAGAACATCATATCCACCATATAACGAACTTATTGTAGTTTATGCATACACGCACACACACACAGACTTTACAGTTGTTAATAATTTGACATGCTGCAGTACATGAAACTGAATTTTTATCACCCAGTTTCCTTACAAATAGAAGTGAACCTAAATTGTTATTCTTACAGGCAGCAGTGAATGGTCGTGGAGAGCAGCAGCAGTTGTACTGTCCAGGCACAGTGGACCATTCACACAAGTTAACATTCAAACTAGATAATGGAGTACTCCCATCCAATCCCTACGTTCCACTGTCATACACACTAATTGATCAGCGAAAGTTCTTAAAAATAGATGATAAAGATATTGACATAGATGCCATTGTTGCTTCGTTAAATGAAGTCAAGGCTCCAGTTTGGCCCTTTGTAGGGGAGGAATATGAAAATGTGGTGTGGGTGGCAACAGAGCATCCAGAGACACATGTGCAAGTAGGTACACATTGTATGAGCATGTGGGATTATTTCTTGAGCAAAGTGTGTGTGAATCAGAAGTTACTTTAGGGCAGGCTAAAGTTGCTGTAACACTTGTCTCTTAGAGATTTGTCTGTTAAATTGGCTTTCCTATAAGGAGTAAAGTCAGTGGCATAGCAAGATACAATATGTTTGTATTCAGTAAAGCTATGCCGGGTACAAGTGGATTTTGAAAGTACTTTCAACAGACAACCTAGCTTTAGGAGACCAGTAAATGTAGAGGCTTGGTTGTTAAACAGTCCACATAAAAATGGAAATGTCAGTCAAAAAATCCAGAAGATATGTGTGTGTGTGTGCGCGCAGAGAGTATGTAAAATTTATTTAGCTTTGATTTTAATCATAATGGACAACACCAACATGATTTTTGCTGAAACATGAATTTATGGCTTTTGATTCATCAAGTGTGTAAATGTAATATGTAGCTGATTAATTTGTTGTATTTGTGTAAAGACAATGAAATTAATAGTAACTAGATCTAGATAATACTTTTCAGACGACAAACCTCCTATATTAGGGTAGTACGAGAATTAGATGTAAAACTGACAATTTCCCTATCTGAATGGTTGTAATACCTGTATGTATGGATTGTTGAATGATAATAAAAATGAAATTAAATTTTTATACAGCTTCAGAATATATGAAGATTGTGTGTGGGGGGGTGGGGGTCCTGACTTTTCTATTTCTCTCAAAGGAAAAATACAGAAGTCCAGATATTAAGTCTGTTGGTGAGAAAGGAATTTCTAAATTACAACAGAAGTGAATTTTGTTAGACATTGTACGTGCATTCACGTTTATGTTTGTTCATCCATGTTTCTACCTGTGAAACTATGAAAGTAGCACAACAGAATAAATTCTGTAAGTGCTTATTATTATACAAAATTATGTAAACCAACTTGCCAGTTCCCTTGTGGAAATGTAGAAGTACCTTCATCTGTATCAGAGTAGCTTCAAATAAAGGCAGAGAATCTTGACAAAGAAAACTGCTCAACTGCCAACTTTGAATAAGGATTGACTTTTATGAATGTGACTTATAAAAGAGTAATTTCACAGAATTTGGGTTTGTTATGAACCCATCTTCATTTCTAGCAAAATTAGCGCCTTTTGTCCTTCAAGTTTTCTACTTGTGGGTAATAGAATGATCTCTAGTTACATACCTTTTCAGGTGAAGTACATGCCACAAGGTCCATTCTGTAGTACCTTGCTGGTGGAATTACAGCCATGGGCACTTTTGGTCAATGTACTTGGCTGTTCTCTTGTCCTCATGGTTGAAGACTCTATTGTCTGCAGGTATTTAATTAAATGTTTTCATAACCCTTTAATATTGCATTAATTGTTTTTTTTTCATGGGTCTTTTGTAGTGCTTCACATAATTTGACATGAATCACAACCCCCATCTTTTCTCATTTTGCTAAATATGTCCATAGTGGGTGCAGCATTAATAATCATTATCATGTGATTTTGGGATTTTGTTTACATTCCCTCATGACAAGAATTTAAATCCATTTTTCTTAACAAACATTTTTATGACATTCTTTAATACAGACAAGATAACAAAAAGGAAATGCATCATTTAATTAATAGCTTTTGCAAGTGTTCTTAAGACAGCATGATTGAGGTCAATTTCTTGTTGTTAAATAAGACAAACCAGCAGTACTATTAGTATAATTTTAATGGTATGGAATGGGCTTTCTCATTAAGCCAATGAAGAGCACAGTAAATAGGACAAATATCCCACAGAGTTGTTAAATATTAAAATAAATTAAGAAGGCCTGTGTAGACTTTATGTTTTGAATTATGTAGAAAGGTCTCTGGAATTTGTGGAATCCATGTTTTGGGTGATGATCCAATTACTTCTTTATGGCTGACCAGGCCTTGAGGAAATGGAAAAATCCCAAAACTTTTCCTCTTTCAGAAGCAGCATTGGAGATAAATTAATTCACAGTAATCAATCTTTAGGGGTCAAGAATGTATCATTTAAGGATAATGTTATGGACCATCAGTAACACTAGAATATAAAAGCATTAAAACAGTTATTTACAAGTAATGTGTTCATGTGGATGTATAGATCCACATTGTCTTGACCTCAGCACTAGTTGGAGGTGAGTGGGCAACTTCATGCTCATGCCACTTTACCCCTGGGAAAAGAGCCACTGGTACCCATTGGATAGAAGGTTGGGTGGACCCCAGATCTGGTCCGGATGACTTGGAGAAGCGAAAATTCTCAAAATTCTTGACCCTATCGGCACTCAAACTCCAACCCCTCGGTTGTCCAGCCCGTAGCCAGTCACCGTACCAACTATGCTATCCTGGCTCCTACATCCACTCCACTATATGCCTTCATGGTGTAATACTTAATTAGTAGGCATAGGAGCAACTTTATTTATTTTAATTATTAATGTATTTGTGTAATTACTGGTATACCTTGGTTGGTTCAGATACTTTTTCTTGGTGACACATTAAGCAGTCATAGAATACAAGTCTGCTGTGCAAACTTCTCTCATTTCTCAAGATTTCCCTCAATAATCCAATTGCTATTAGAGTTTGTACATTTCTTGAACTAATAAACAGACAAATCTTACTGCAGAGCTATGTACTATTTACAAGTAAGAATGATACAAACTGCTTTGTAGACAGTAAATATGGATTACTGTTTTTCCCAGGGTGCCACATCAAGGTGTCATCACCCCTCCAAAACTGGAACATACCTTTAACCTTGGTCTGGATGTTGGTGAGGTAGTTCATGCATCACAACCTCTTCAGTTAGCTCGCCCTGACTGGGGAAGTAGTTTTTACATGCCTCGTATCTCTGGCCTCATCCCAAATTCCGGAAATGTGCAGACAGTAATACAGTGTGGAAAAGCAGTGGCTTTTCTGAGCATTGCCTCCGTTATGGTGGAGGAAATGAGAGTGATTACTGTGCGAGCAAAATATATCATCTGCAACTGTACTTCTCTCAGCTTACAGGTATTGTCTGATTGTCATTATCTTGTGGTTTTCTTTCTAAAATCTAAGACTTTCTGCAATGTAAGAAAAAAGCTACAGATTTTGGTATTCTGTTGAAGAAGATTTTTATATGTGCATGCATAGGGTATGTTCCTCTAAAACTGGACTAACAAGACTGCCTGGTATCACTACCCAAAGGACAGCAATCTGTGTGACACTGAAGCTCATATTCTCATTAGTTTAATTGTAGAAATTTGTTATAATTTTTGCTCATAACTTAATTTAAAGTAAGATATTTTTATTGAGAATAGTAATTTTTTATTCTCTCCTTTATTGACTATCAGATTGTACTGTCTATAAGTCAATGTGCTGATTGGTGTACAAGAATAGTAATTCATTTTAATTTTCTAACCAGATATCAGCATTTGCAGTTAAAGAGTTTGAAAGGCATGATTGCCTAAAAGAAGAGCAGAGATGTGTGCAGACGGTGCTACCACACACGGAAAATAAAAGCAATTTGGGCTTGCCCATTGTTCAGTGGGCTGTACTAGGGAAGGAAGAGGGAGAAGGGGAGCTCCTTCCATACATAATGCTGAACACTGGTGCCGGCTGGAGCTGTCCTCTTCGGGTCAGTGATGGAATGGTCCGTCACAGTTTCAGCATTCCTGTCACTATGAATGCTGATTGTCAGAGTAATGATGCCTATACTCTCACAGTGCAAGAACATTCAGGCCAAGTTTTTCTATCAATATATCCGGAAATGCATCCACAGATTACACTACACAACATGTGCAGGTTCAAGATTCTGTGTGCACAAGGAATGCCAGACAGTGATGGAAAAGCTGTTCCAGAGACTGCCAACTTCGACTGGTGGTGTGGTGTAGAACCTCATAGTTATGCCCATTATAGCCTTCCAGCTACTTCACAAAGATTTCCGGATATTGTCTCTCCAGGAAACTGGCCTCCTTTAGTCCTGGCATTGTCTGAGTCATGTCCTCCAAGAGAGGGTACCTTACTTTGGTCCAGAGGAATAAATATCATAGAGACTCAAGAGCAGTTTGTACAACTGCCTGGTCATGGTGATGTGAAGGTCCGGGTTGAAGTTCAGTGTCATACAACACACATAACAGTTGAAACTGTGAGCCATGTTGAGATATCTGCTCGTGATATTCGAAGCAGACTGATACATCATCAAGAAGACACAGAAGCTGTGGAGACATCTCATCACGTATCACTATCTCATTCAGCAACTTCGTATGCTTCAGACTACCTTTCTGCAACAAGTTCTTCACATAGGGGAACTGAACAGAAAATGAAGGAAGCAGAAAGTGGTGCAAGCTTTGTTAGTGCAGATGATAAGAAGGACTATTTTCCCTTGGATCATACAGTGACTGTCTTACAAGACTATAAGTCCCCAGCCTTATTGACATCCAGTTTGCCAGCAGTCACTGAACACCAGAACAGTGCTATGGAAAAACTACCTGAACCGTGCAAAACAAAACATATTCATGCTACATTTTTCCTGAGAGGGGTTCATGTCAGCCTCACAGAAGACATTCCAAAGATGAGATCTGAAAGAACTCAGATTGTTTTTCTTAGCCTTGATAATGTTTGTGTTTGTGTTAAACCTCAGTTCTTGAGAGAGGATGCTGAAGAACTAGATGTTTGTGTCAGTATTGGAGATTTGCAGTTGGATAACCAGATGTTCCAGCATGGTGGATATGACTTCCCAGTTATTCTAATTGGTCAAGTTCCTAAACATAATTTAGGCTATGGATTCTCCCTCTCTGTGCCCCCATCACATTTAATTGAACGATTTTCATCAGACTCCCTTGTTGTGATCAGTGCTTCCCTTGAGACCTTGAACAAAAGAGGATGCAGTTGTACTGTTATGAAAGAGCTGAAGGTGTCATTTGGACCTCTTTGTGCTTATATTGAAGATACTCTCATAACAAAGTTGACTGATTATTTAATGTGCCTTTTGCCTACTATGTTAGTGCTGTTACCACCATCAAGCAGTGGTGTCAGTCTTCCACCAAGAGCATCATTAGTTCCCATATCTAAAGTAACCTATTGGAATTCAAGGCAAATTGCATTTCCTGTTCACCTCCGCACACTGACAGTCGAGCCTCTATCTCTGCTTCTTAGTGTTCACACATCGGTGAAGTTGTACATTGCATTGGATCACTCACCATTACAATTCTCTGCGTTTGAACGCCGAACTTTGATCACAACCCCATATCGACTGGGACATACTTTAACGATGCATTATTTATCAGGAGCCATATTTGGAGCTGGATGGATGGTAGGTTCACTGGAGTTGTTAGGCAGCCCTGGTGGGTTTGCTAGAACACTGGGAACCGGATTACGAGATTTTGTGAGTCTACCGTATCGTGGGATATTTGAGGGACCATGGGGATTCCTAGTTGGAGTTACCCATGGTTCAGCTTCCCTCATGAAACATGTGACTGCAGGAACCCTAAGCTCAGTAACTAAACTAGCAGCCAGTGTAGCTCGAAATCTGGACAGATTGACCCTCGATCACGAACACCTTGCCAGGACTGAAGAACTGAGAAGACAGCGGCCACAGGGTGTTACTCAAGGGTTAGTTCAAGGGTTGACAGGATTGGGCATCAGTTTATTGGGAGCTGTAGGAGGAATTGCTCATCATCCCTTGCAGTCGGTTGTGAGTGAAGGGGCCTCCACTAGAGGTCTTGTGAAGGGGGTGGGATTAGGGTTGGTTGGAGCTATCACAAAACCATTAAGTGGAGCCGCAGAATTGGTAGCACTTACGGGTCAAGGCTTGCTGCATGGGGCAGGGTGGACATATCTTCCAGAAGTGAGACAGCAATCCATCATTGAGTATTCATTCTCAGGTGCCAGTTCTCGGCTCAAGTATAGCTGGAAGCTAATAGCAGAACTTGGAGCTGGCTGTCACACATTGTTGCATGTAACTGAAGCCACATGTGTGACTCCTTCAGGTAATTATGAAGCTGTTGCTTTGGTGCTCACTACACGGGCACTCTTTTTGGTGGACATAGAAGAAGATCTAACAAGGAGAATTCTTTCGCTGGCAGAACTATCAGCTGTGGAGCACCTGTCTGACCCTACGCTGCTCTGTTTCCAGTTTCAGCCAGCTGTGGAACTCGAAGCTGCTTCCCATGCTCGTGTTGTTGATTTTGTTCGACGCAGCTCAGGCATGGTTGCTGATATTGCTCATGACAGTGCACAATCTGAAGTTGAGTCTTCACTGCCTGGCAGCCCTGTACTTCCAGAACCACCAGACTCAACTGACACGCTTCTCATGTTTTATGTAAACCCACAGTCAAGAAATTATTTTCTGTCAGTTCTTGCCCTTGCCAAACGACAAAGTGAAGGGCGAGGTTTTGCAGTTCTCTAATTTGATGTTCATTATTTTACTAGTAGTACAAATTTCCGAATTTCTGATAAATGTACAGAGTGGGGTGCAGAAACTTCCTTTTTGTGAAGACGCATTGTGAACGGAGGGAGGTCGCAGAATAGTGGGGCTAGGCTCGGCGAACGCAGCAGTCGCGGAACTCACTTCGGAATTAAGCCCAGAAGTCCAGTTGCTGACTGGAAATCGATTGTTTTGTGGGTAGAGAACTTTAGGACAACCAGGAGTGTGGTGAAAAAATCATCAGGACGACAGTGGACCGTTACGACGCCAGAAAATGTGGAGGCAGTTCGACAGTCCATTTTGAGATCTTTTTCTAACCAGCTCTTGAAGAACTGCATCTAGGAAATGTCTGGTTCCAACAGGATGGTGCCACGGCCCACACAGCCTGAGCTTCGATGACAGTTTTGAGGGCAAAGTTCCCCGGACGGCTCATCTCGCTTCGAGGTGACATCCCGTGGGCAGCACACTCACCTGATCTAACGCCCTGTGATTCTTTTTTATGGGGATACCTCAAAGAGGTTTCTAAACACTGCCCCACAAACCTGCTTCAGCTGAAGAATGTTATTCGGCCGGAAGTAGCCCAAAATCCGGTGCACATGTTGGAACGTGCAGAGGGGAACTTCAGAAAACGGTTGCATCAATGCATAGAGAACGGTGGCCACCACCTTCAAGATATTTTGTTTAAAACTACATGATTTAAAACTTTAAAGCATGTTCTTTCATTAGCTAAACATAAATTTTGTCTATCAGCAATAATTTTTCTTTTATTCACCTTCAAAAAAAGGAAGTTTCTGCGCCCCACCCTGTATTTAGACCTGTGTTACTTTTTAAGGATACATGAATATTTGAAAAGTGTAAATAAAATGTACAATGTGCATGTAAAATTATCTTGTTAAATAATCACCAAATTAAAAAATATTGCAGACAAAAACTCTAGACTGTAATTTGATGTGATTGGTTATGTGAATATTGTAGTGTGTGCACATAAAGCTTTATCAAATGACCATGATAATGCTGATATTCTGTATATTATGTACGCCAGATTGTCATATTGTGTCATTTGTGACAGTTGTAAAAATTAGATTTGAAAATAGCACTTGTTTTAGACATTTTAAACATTAATATTTTTACTGTTATTACATGTTACTGAAATTACTGTATAAAGAAATATTACGTACACATTTTTGTTACATTATTATATAAACAAATGTGCTTGGATTGACTGTGTTCTCCAGTGACACTGCTCTTTAACATCAAAATTTCCATTTGTGTCCAGTTCTCAGTGTGGTGTGGCTTGTAAAGCCTGTGATATTTGAGAAACTGCAGTGATCCTTGGAGTATACACTCAAGCAGAAGCTGTTATCTCATATCTCTTTCTTCAGTTGCTATCTAGTAACATTAACCTGTTAGAATGTTACAGCAACCAGTAACTTAAAGCCTTTCCTCAATAAAAGTAACGTGTATGGTAGGATCTGTGTGTATGGACAAACTACTAAAATTGTTGATACCAGCTGCAATTATTTTGTGGTGCGGGCACCAAGAACCTGTGTTAGTGGCCACTGTTGTAAGACAGTCTCACACAGTGTTCAGTAAAATCAAGTTTGTGAAAACTGTCTTGTTATCAAACGACTGGATCCCAGTACATCATATTCTAGCAATTCTCCTGATTATGGGGTTTCTATAAAGTAAACCTTCCTATCAAAACTATTACCTGACAAAACAACTCAAAAGATTATTGTTTTTAAAGTCATTGTTATAAGCTGGAAATACATGAAATTAAAAATTGTTAGCAATGTGAAGAGGCTATTATTTTGTACTGTTAATATAATGACTAAAAGAGAATCTAATTTTGATGAATATTATACTGAAGATTATTGAACTAAAAGGGGTTTACTGCTCAGTTAGCTATGCCTTACAAACAACAAAAAGGGGAATGCCATATTTCGTGATGATGTCTGCCTGTCCATCTTTTTGTCTGTAACCTACTGTCAGTGCCTGAACCACTGGAGAAACAAAAAAAAACTGGTTCTTAGCAATAACACATTACATAAACATTTACATTTATACCCCTGCATTCAGATCATTTTTAACAACTGTATATAAGAATATTAACTTTTAGATCAATAAAATAATACACAATAAAAATGACACTGCATGACAGTAACTTTTTTGTTGCACAAGTTTGTTTGGATGAAGTAAAGAATAATTTTAATGACATCTTGCTTACTATGACTTCCTAAGCCTTGAGAAATTCTTCAATAGGTAATTCGTAATTTTCTGCCTGGAGGTTTTCAAGGAAAATTTGTGATCTCTCACCCTGAAGGAAGAACATGGATTGAAGATGTCGGAGCAAACTCCTGAGTAGGATATTTGACCATAGAGGTAGGAAGTAACAGGGGACTGGAGAAAATTACAATGAGGAGCTTTGTAATTTGTACTTGCTTACTCCTGGAGCTGAGCCTTCTTTGAGGAGCCACCAATTCTGCAGCCACTCAAGAATTTCCCAGCATTTTATGGAACCCTAAGATTCATTGCTGTGTTCACAAGAGCCCTCCACTGGTCCATATCCTGAGCCAGATCAATCCAATCCATCCCATCCTATCCCTCTAAGGTCCATTTTAATATTGTTCACGCACCTACACCCTTTTCTTCCCAGTGGTCTCTTTCCTTTTGGCTTTCCCACCAATATCCTATATGCATTCCTCTTCTCCATTCATGGTACATGCCCTGCCCACCTCATTCTCCTTGACTTGATCATTCTAATTATATTTGGAGAAGAGCACGACTTATGAAGCTCCTCATTATGCAGTTTTCTCCAACTTCCACTCCATCTCTCTTCAGTCCAAACCTGTTCTCACCCTGTTCTCAAACATCTCTACACTAAATATTGTCAGGAAGATAAAATCAAGGAGGGTGAGATAAGTAAGTTGTGTAGTATATGTGGCAGATATTAGTACTAGGTACAAAATTTTATTCTGAAAACCTGAAGGTAATAGACCACATAGAAAACCTAGGCGTAGATAGGATAAAAATATTAAAATATATGTTAAAGGTGCATGAGTATGGGCCGAATTCGCGTGCCCCTGGATAGATTCGGGTTGTGGGAACTTCTGAACACGGTAATTAGCATTTGGATTAAATAAATGGCACGAATATTGCTACATTCAGCTACATGGGTTTTAATTACAGAATTTTTCTCCCAAGGCCCCCTGGTTCGTGGCAAATAGTTCGAAATGGTTCAATGCGGCCTTCAACCAAAAATAACTATTGACCCCCGCCCTAGAGTGACTTAAACATACATTCGAACGACGTACTTAAATTTAAACTTTATTTTTCTGTCTTCAGCATTTAATTAGCCGGATTTTGCTTGTCATTAATCACTTTCACACAAATATTTCGGCAGTAGGGAATGTGCCATTTTTCAAGTCATGCCAGTTACAAGAATTTTATGTGACANCTTGCAGATTCTTATATATTTTTCCTTCTACCCTGAAGATGGAGGCGATACGTTCCTCCGAAACGTCGGTTAACACCACATATACACGGTGCCAAATCCCAGAAGACTGCTTTCTTCATAGTCACCGCCGTGAAAGCCTCAAGTCTTACATAATGTATTTACTGTTGAAACTATGTGGTGTGTTGCACGGCATTTAGTATCCTCATTTTCAGAGCAGAGGTGCTAAGTTCCACGGAAATTTCGGGAATTTATTGTCACGTCAGTGTTGTATACACTCCAGATGTGTGAACAAGTAGTAGTTTGTGCTTCTAATTGTTTCGTGTACTGCAATGCCAAACAGGTTCGTTTCTGTATTGCAGATCTCATTGGACGTAATATTCATGTACTGTAAATTCGTATTTAGTATTGCAAAGCTGATCGCCATTAATATCACACTGCACAAAGCCGAAATAATTCTATTTGTATTTAGCTTAAAATTCTCTCTCTCTCTCTCTCTCTCTCTCTCTCTATATATATATATATAGGCCTTGGTCGCTTTTTTTTTTCAGTTTCTTGATCCTATGCACAGTCCGTAGGACTCCTTGGACGGGGGATCAGCCCATCGCAAAGCCGCTACCTCTACATGAAAACAAAAACAGAATAAGCGCACATGCCTCGAGTGGGATTCAAACCCACGACCCCAGTATCTTTGTGTTTATATACCCCAGTCACTGGCTTTCCTTTTCATCGCCTTCAATGACTTGCACGGCAGCGGTGGGGGTATTCTAACCCGCCTACACGCGAGGACAGAGAATTAATAACTTTGATTCGTGCAAAACAAAATAAATAATACATTATTTCACTGAACAAAACCTTAGAACAACTGAAAGCAATATTTTCGAAAGGCATCCAGCTGGCAGCTGACGGGAAAATTAATACGATAACATGAAGGGATAATACATATTATAGAAGACCAACTAAATTCCATTTATGTAAGTAATATTAATATATCTGCAGCCAAAATTAAATCAGTTGGGAAGATGAGACAGTAGCTTTCAAAGCAGAAATCATGTTAGACAATAAAATTGTCGAACATATGTTAGAATTGAAGCTTCTAGGGCAACGTACCTTGGGCCACAGAAGGTTGGACTACAAACAAAATTATGACATGTAATAAAATTAGTGGGATTAAGATGAATATTGATAAATAAATGTTGCCAGAGACAAAATTAAAAATGTATAACTTAAGCAGTTGAAAACTCGAAATATGACAGTGAGAACTCGTTACTGAAGAAAAGAGTCATCCCCGAGAAGGGAAAAGAAAACTGAAGCCCCATAAATAAGGCTGTTACTCTTTTCAGCAGGTAAAAAGTACTGGATAATAAACAAAACACGGACAAGAGAAACATTTAATATTTTAAACTAAATATTATCTGAGAAATTGAAGGCTGCCTACACAACATGAGCGTTCTGTTATATTTATTTCCATTTGAATTAGCTCACTGGATAGAATCTGTCATATGAATGAAGTCATGACCAACCTCAAGTAACTTGAATATCGAATCCATTGGATGTTCAATGAGTTTATTTGAATGACTCTGTCATATAACTCGAGTCACCAATTCACCGGCCATAGGCAATGTGGAAAAACATTTCAGCCCTCTTACGAATACAATTGTTCATCGATTAACAGAAGCAGTCAGAATTGTCGTGTTTCTCACGTTGGTCAGTGTCTAAAGTGAATGGTGCCTCGGCAGGTGATGTACGTGTATTAATATCTTCAGGAACTTTAACAATATTCTGTCTAAACAACTTTAAGGGCATTTCATACTTTGAGTCGACAACCATGAGTTCAACGATAGTGCGATTCTGTCTCAAATAGTGAAAGTAAAGTTATAACTTGACTTAATTAAGCACCAAGCCATGAAGACGTATGGAGGAGTGGAGGTATAACCCCAACATTCGTAACCACTTCACTAGTTGGAGGTGATTGGTCGGCTTCATTACCCCGGTTACTTATCCCCACGGAAACTGCCCCCAGTACAAATTGTATAGGAGACTCGGTGGGCTTACAACCTGTCTGAAAAGCTTCGTGGCCTGTAGTCCGCAAGCTAACTATACCGACCAAGCGACCGCCGCTTGTCGGCGAAGTTAGTGCCAACTTTATCTGATAAGAGGGTGTCGCGTGGTCAGCGCAACGGATCCGCACGGCCGTTAATCTCGAGTTTCTAGAACGGAGCCGCTATTTCCTTAAAATAGCTCCTCAATTATCCTCACGAAGCTGAGTGGACCCTATTCCAAATTCACTACTTCTCAGAGAATCTGGTAGCGCCGGGAATCGAACCCGGACCTATGGGTCTGCAGCCAGGAAATCTGACCCCTAGACCACAGAGGCGGTCACCTATCTGAACGTTACAGAAAACAGAAACAAATCTTGACTCTCCCGGGATTTGAACCCCGACTCCTAGGTCGTGCAGTCCATAACCAGGTAGTTATACCGACTTCCGGTTACGCAACCGCAATACAAAATCAACAGTAAGATCAAGAGCACTTTTCTTTTCCTTGGCACTACATAGGCCCACCTCCATGAACTCTCCGTTCACTTCGGTTTTTCTAGATCTTACACATTCGGTAGGACTCCTTGGGCGGGTGATCAGCTCGTCGCAAGGCCTCAACCTATAGACAAACACAGAAAAACGCACACAAACATCCATGCCCTGAGTGGGATTCGAACCCACGATCCCGGCTTCCGAGCGAGCGAAGACAGTGCATGCCTTAGACCGCTCGGCTACCGTGACCGGCCAAGAGCACATAGCAGTCTAAGGAAAGGATCAATAGTGCAAATAAAAGTTTATTTTTTGCGTGTCTAAAATATCTTTGAGGATGCGTCATCAGATACTGAGGCGCAGTTGTTGCAACAAAACGAAGAAAGGCGGGTTTAAGACAGCATGATAACAACAAATGGTTTTGATGGTAGCATTACGTAAAATTTACTTCTTTGTGCATCTATGAAGCTAAACCTATATATCGCTGTAGAACTGAATTATTTTCTTTTATATTCATAGATCTGCATGTAGGATTATGCATTTATTTACGACAGAAATAGAGGCGTATTTCACAATGAAATACTGTGTAATCGATCCCAGTTTTTCTCGCTTCCCGACCATCAACTTGTTTTCTTTTATTTCAAATGATATTTCTCTTTAAAAACACGTGGCATATGCCTATATTTTGTTCCATCGTCTTTCTAGTTCTTCATGGAAACATTTTGTGATGCTCAATTCCCTCTCTACTGTTAGACTCTTTCAGCTCTTTGTGCCTCCCATAGGACCCGTCCCCTTTCAACAGTTCTTATTTCAGGAGGAGAGACAAGTACGCAGAGCTGATACGTAACAGTATTGCGTTGCAGTAAGTAGCCACATCAGAATGCTTGGCTATTTTGTTATTTTACGGTCTGCTAAGTTTAAGTAACATCGGACGTTATGGCTGTAAATAGCGAGGTATGTTGACCCTGGGTGGGACTGAATAAAACGACGATAGGCCAGGATTCGAACCGAGTCAGATTCGTTTCGTCTTCGGTGTACTGTTACGCGCATGAGTCAGTAAGATAGGGCGGCTGCTACAGGGCTAGAGCGGGCTAGAGGCCCCAGTCGCTAACGGGCACCATGAGGTTTAAGTAAGGCTGGCCTCTCCATCCAACAAGTGTCCACAGTGCCCCATCGCACAGTATCCAATCACTACACGTGGATGTAGACAGATCCCTCTACTTGTGCCGCTTGGGTTGCTGTGAACATGTGCAGTGCTGTTGTGTTACAACGAGCCGCGCCCATTGCCCGCCATTATAGACCCACGATGAAGAACAAGTAGCGGCTGCTTTTCCCGACATCAGGTGAGTCAGTACCTTGGGGACCGCGGGCAGATGATATAAAGCTCTCCGCAAGGTTCATATTGTCTCTGGCCAGCGCTTTGTTTTGTTGGGACGAGACAGTCTGTCGGTGAAATTACGGGGGGAAAAATGTCGTGAAACTATAAAGGACTACTTACACAGGGGGAAATTTTTACATTGTATCTTTACCTTTAATTATGTATGTTATTGAATTGTGTGCCATAAAACTCGGTATCCTGTGAACATAGATTTATTTGCGTTTATTTCGGCCCCCGTCAGGACATTTGGCTAACTTTTTAAAACAAAAATTTGGTCACGAGTTTCTAGGGGGCCCCAAATCGAGAATGACTGTGCTGACCAAGACCAGCAACAATTTACTGGACTGGACACAGATTTCCGTATTGTAACGAAACACGCCTCAGTTAAACTTACTTTACTTCGCATTAGTTTCGTGTTGGTGTTTGCACCTCTGCTTTCACTAGCTGGCAAATTCTTGTCCTTCTTTAATCCAAAATTTTAACCAATCTGAATCCGGTCTTTCTTTTTATTGCTAGTGGGGTGGGACTAAGTCCCTTGTACTGCGGCCACTTCTGGCCTATTGTACCAGCCCCAGATGATAGGTGAGGGTGATTGTGGAGCAATTGGTGGAATGAAGATTGGCAGGGGAAACCGAAGTACTCGGAGAAAACCTACCCAAGCGCCACTTTGTCCACCACAAATCCCACTTGACCAGACCTGGGATCAAACCCGGGCCGCCGCGGTCAATCCGGTCTTGATTCCATTCAAAATATGCTGGCGTCTTTGAAAATTCCCCATGTCTATCACTGTCCAGCTCGTGAATACAATCTCTGCTGTGGTTCTGCATTTATAATTGGTATATATTGTTCCATGTTAACTACCGTAAAGAGTTGTGAGAGTTCTTATGTACCAGCCTGAACGTCATTTTTTGTTGTCTGTAATTTTCAGAAATTTGAGCTTTTAAGCACGAATATCTATTTGTGTGGTAATGAACACAGCAAGTTTCCATCATTTCTTATAGCATTATAATTCTGAGAAATCTGATCTATTTGTATCTGTGTCTTTTCAAGTGACTTCAAACATCAGAGGCAGCTATAATTACTCGTCTTTATTTGCTTTGTTGGTGGCTCCTCCCTTTCTCTATATATTTTACTTATATTTTGAAAATTCCCCAGTATTTTTAAAATTATCATTTGACAATATGTAAAAAGAAACAGAGAAGTAAACCGAAAAGATATCTGTCGAATTCATTTTCGTCGTCTTCCTCACTAATTCATTCCAGGAAAGAAAGAAATTTGGCATATCAGATGACCTTGTTTTTCTCATTCGAAAGATACGAGATTCATTGACATGTTTTTTTTATTACTAGTGGGGTGGGACTAAGTCCCTTGTACTGCAGCCACTTTTGGCGTATTGTACCAGCCCCAGATGATAGGTGAGGGTGATTGTGGAGCAATTGGTGGAATGAAGATTGGCAGGGGAAACCGAAGTACTCGGAAAAAACTTGCCCCAGCGCCACTGTGTCCACCTCAAGTCCCACCAGACCCGGGATCGAACCCGGGCCGCCGCGGTGGGAAGCCAGCGACTACGTTGGTAACCACCTACCAGGCTACACGGTCTTGGAATCCAGAAGAGCAACATATGGATGTTCACATGGTTCTTGGCTGCGGTTCAGATGGAAGCCAATCAGATGGGATGAAAATGTGGTCATGAATATGGGTAGGTTTTCGCTTTATGAACAGGGCCTACAAGACGCTCGCGAGGGTTTTCTGAATATTAGATTTTTGACCATGATTATCTCTATTTTTATCGAATTTTCTTCTTAAATAAAATTAGTTGGGTGTCAAACATGGTGGTGACTATGTAAGCATGTACTGGTCGAATGAAATGTCACTAAAAATATTGCTGTGCATTGTAATGTTCAGTTTACTAGAGAAACAAAAACTCTTTAACTGTCAAACTTTAACGAGAAGCCAGGGAATGTAAGGAGGGGTAAAAGTAAGGTGAAGTTGTCCTTGTACTTAACTAATTAAGTATTACGTCATGAAGGCGTGTGGGGGAGTGAATGTATAGATCCGCGTTTTCTGTACTTCTGCACTATTTGGAGGAGAGTGGTCAGTTTCACGCCCCGGGGAGGGATCCACCGTGCCCATTGGATAGGAGATTGGCTGGGCCCAAGAGCCGGCCTGGACGACATGGAGAAGTTAAAATTCTTGACCCTACCGAAAATCGAACTCCGACCTCTCGATCGTCCAGCCCGTAGCCAGTCCCTATACCGACTGCGCTATCCCGGCTCATTTGTAAGGATGGGTACGTTGAAAATCGTCTGGGGAATGCAGTAGTCCGACGTTTGAATGGTCTGAAGTGTTGTGAGCTTCCTTTTTCATAACACTTCGAGAAGAGTACAGGTTATGACGTTCCTCATTGTGCAGTTTTCTCATTTCATCCCTCTGCGCTCCAAATATTCTTCTCGGCATCCTGTTCTCAGGCACCTCAATCTGTTTTCCTCTAATGTCAGAGACTATGTTTCACTCATGCCGGTCACGGTAGCCGAGCGGTCTAAGGCATGCACTGTCTTCGCTCGCTCAGAAGCCGAGCTCGTGGGTTCGAATTCCACTCAGGGCATGGATGTTTGTGTGCGTTTTTCTGTGTTTGTCTACAGGTAGAGGCCTTGCGACGAGCTGATTATTCGCCCAAGGAGTCCTACCGTATGTGTAAGATCTAGAAAAACCGAAGTGAACGGAGAAGTTCATGGAGGTAGGCCTAGGCCCACTGGGGCTGTAGTGCCAAAGGAAAAAAAAAATTCCCTCATACAAAACTATAGACAAAATTATTGTTTTGTATATTTTAATTTTTAAGATTTTAGACAGCAGACGAGGAGATAAGAAGTTAAATTACATCGTCGAATTAGATGGTAAAATAACGAAATGTAAATAGGCAAGGATTTAGAAGGAGAGAATTCTAATCGGGTTTCGGGAAACTTTCTCAGCATTCACATGGCGTGACTGATGAAAATCAATATTCCACTCGAAAACAAGCCTAGAGCGTCAACGCCTAACCTAATTTGCTCGGTTTAATATAAAGTGAAATGTTGAACATTATACCATCGTCCTTCAGTTCTTTTAATGCACGACGTTTCGGAATCTGTATCTGTTTCCGTAATCACATATAATGGAGGAAAGGTTCACACGCAGCTGGACACATTAAAATCAGCAGACGCTGGACGCAGACGATGGATAGTGCCTAAACTAGCAGACTTGTTTATTTTCACACCCAATCAGCGGAAACATTTACACTTATACATTTCAGCGTCTAGTAGTCAGCTCAGTATTGGACCAGTATGCCGTGAACTTGTTCCACAAAGCATTCAAGGAATGATTATATAGAAAGTGGTCCGTGGAGCGGATACGACCTGACGGAAGAGAACTTGAAGATGGAGGCAGTATGTTCCTCCGAAATGTTAGTTGTCTTTCACCGGGCTACACAGCGTTTTATCCTAGAAGACAGATCTTTTTAATCGTAATTTACGTTCTGTTCTCAAAGTAAGATGCGACGTTTTACTCCCGTACAAAACCGCTAGCAAATATTTTTATATGCCCTGATATTCAGGAATTCAGGAAGTAACTGGGATATTAACAGACTTCGAATTGAATAACATCACATCTCTCCGTGAGCCGCAATTATGTAGTAACTACAGCGATGGGTTGGACGAAAAGGTTTTGGTTTCCGGAATTTGGGAAAGAGTTTCTGTACTCCACAACGTTCATACTATCTCTGGGGCACAGCCAGCCTCCTATATAGTGGGTACCGGATGTTCTTTCGCAGGTGGTAAAGCTGCCATGGCGTAAAGCAGACCACTGACCTTCATCTAATACCTAGGTCAAGGATGGTGGAACTATACCTTGACTTCTCCATAGGTCTTCTTGGCGAGATGCTTATTTAAATACGGGATAACGTCTTCCTTTATAAGGAATGCAAACAGAAACATGTCTGTAATTTCCCCAGAGGATATAAAATTATGATCAGTGGTACTAAAATGGATATTGGGGACCACGAGCATTCTTTAAATTGAACTTGACGTCCAGGTTAACACACGGCTACAAATATTTACGTTGGATGTTCATTTTGCGCATCCACGTTGATCATGAACTCTACTAACATAGCAGTGCTTATTGCCTGCGTGTGCTATATTCAGTTGCATGATGTAGCTTAGGAACTCTTTGTTTAGTTGATCACTATATTTGACAGGCTACAGTCTTCTCTGCCAAGAGGAACCCGCAAGTTCACGCTTTTCAGTGGTTTTCGTCTGTACAATGACGGACACCGTATTTATGTGCCATGTGTTTCCGTCGGGCTTAATTTACGGTTGTAATAAACATGAAATTCTTTATAGAGTCCAGCCAACTGTCGATTAGAAAGTACTAAAACTTTGGAACTGGGTCTGCTAGCCAGGACTCCATATACATCCACAGCTGTGTTCTTTGTATGACTGATATTCCGGCAACGGAATCTATAATTCCAGCATCACCCGCCATTGGTCACGGTGTTTACCCGTGCCATCCTCCTGCAGTCCTCATAACCTCATTCCATTAGAGCCATTTCCCTCTAAGTTATACAAACAAATGTTTTCACAAGACATCCCAACACAAAAGATAATGAAGAAAGCAGACTGCTTTTACCGATTCTCACGGTCTCTTCGCTTGCGGATTTCTTATATTTTTCCTTCTACCCTGAAGATGGAGGCGATACGTTCCTCCGAAACGTCGGTTAACACCACATATACACGGTGCCAAATTCCAGAAGACTGCTTTCTTCATAGTCACCGCCGTGAAAGCCTCAAATCTTACAAAAGATCATGTTTCATGAACTTCATTTTTCCAACTTCATAAACAGTTCCACAGCTGTATCTCTGAAAGAGTAAGGTTCGAAAACAGTTTTGAAATGGAGTATTTACAAGAAAATAAAATACGTTGAAAATATTATCT